CCCCCCTAGCCCCCCCAGCTACCTGAGCCCAGGCCAGCTCCCGCTGCACTCGGCAGCTGGCCAGGGTGCCGAGCGCACAAGCCGTCCATCCAGCGTGGCTCCTGGGAAGGCGAGGCAGGAACCCTTGGGAAGGTTCTCAGGGCACAGGCCCGGGGGAGCTGCGTTCTGCCTGCTGCGCTGTCTCTGGGACGATAGGCAGGGCCCGGGGAATGGCCTGCAGTGGGCCAGTGGTTGCGGGACACCAGAAGGGAACACCCCTCTGCTGCTGGGTGGCTGCTCTCAGCACGTGTGCTGGAGCCGCTTGGGCTGGGGGCAGGAGCATAAGCCCCCGAGAGCGACTGGGGGGGCCAGAGGTTGTGTCCTGTCAAGGTGGCGTTCAGGTCGCTGCCTGTGCTGACAGCCAGTGTGCTGGGGAGGGTCCCGCCAGCTCATGCACGCACCAGACGCTAACAGGAGGGGCTCAGCTAGGCGGGCTCCTCTGCTCGGCCCCTCTGCTTAGCTCAGCCCTCTGCATTCAGAGCAGCCCCTCGGGCCTGGCTTGCCCCCAGTCGTCCCCTTGCGCTCACACGCACTGGAACTCACCGAGCTAAATGAGTGGGAACAAAGGGGGGACACTTCGCACGAACAAGCAAATGTGGTGCTTGCCTGGGAGCAGCCAGGCCTTGTTCCCTGGCACACCAGACTCCTGCCAGGGCCAGTTGCCACGCGGGGAGGAGACGCGCCTGTTTGCTGCACATACCCCACAGCCTGCCTGGGGAGCGGGAACGTGAGCAGCGCATTTGCTGTGGGGCCTGCAGGCTCCTTGCACACAATCTCCCCCTTGTCTCCCTCCCCCTGGCCCAGCGCTAGCGTTAAACATTCATTCATTCCTCCTCCCGCCTGCCTTTGCAACTGGCCCCAGGTCCGTTTGCCAGGGCCTTGGGGGGCCAGGAACAAGGGACTGAATGAAGAGCGAGCGACCAAGCCGGGCGCCTGAGGCGGGGCATTTCCGAAACCACATCCTTCCCCTTCCCGCGAGCCCCAGCTCCCCGGCGGGCAGGGACAGGCCCACCTTGTGGGGGGGCTGAGCGTGTTGCAGGCCTTGGGGGAAGGAAGCGGGCTGAGCTGGGTGTAGCCAAAGGAGCAGGCGGCCGCTGGCGGTGCAGGGGGCGAATGCGGCCCAGACGCTGAGATGCTGCTCTCCCCCCTCCCCAGCTTTGATTAGAGTTTCCTGTGCCCTGACGGCTAAACCCCCTCCCCCCTCGCCGGCCGGAGCTGTGCAGGGTGGGACGAGAAAGCCCCTGCTGGCTGCCTGGGCAGCGGGCCCTGGTGCCTGGCTGAATGCCCCCATTCACAGGCTGTGACCAATGCATCGGTTCTGCACATTAGCAGACAGCTGGGTTTCTTCTGCGTGGTACAGACGCTGGGACAGAGCAGGTTTCACACCTGCTGGTGGTCTGTCTGCCTTTTGCCATGGCGTGGGGAGGGGGCCATGAGCAGGGATTGGGGGGGGCCTCCCCAGTGGGGAGAAAGTGCTGGGCTAGACGAGTCCGGCCAAGCTGCAGTGTGTCAGTGGCCAGAGCCCCTGGTGCTTGGGGGGGGGGGGCAGCATAGGGTCCCGTACCCAGCCCAAATCTCCCACGCTTGGCCCAGCCCCAACCACCCGCGCCTGGCCCTGCCCACCACCAGCCACCCATGCCCACCCAGCCCTGCCCGCCACCAACCACCCGTGCCCAGCCTGCCTGCCACCCACCTGCTCCCAGCCCGTCACCAACCTCCCATGCCCGGCCCTGCCCGCCACCAACCACCTGCACCCGGCCTGCTCGCCAACCACCCACTCCCAGACCGCCTGGCTCTGCCTGCCACCAGCCACCCGCACCCAGCCCAGTGCCTGCCACCTGCACCCAGTTCAACCCACTGCCAGCACCCAGCCTGCTAGGCCCAGCAGCAGACACGGAGGAGGGGTTGTATCTGGGCAGCCACCAGCAGTGGCCGTGCGTGAAGCCCAAGATCCCTGGCAGGGCACACAGAGGAGAGATCGGCGGGACAAAGGGCTGGCGCATGGGCCGGCCGGCTGTGGACTGGGCACTCCCCACCAGGGAGCGGCAATACCATGGCACAGGGGAGACCAATCGCACCACAGGTGGCAAATCCTGGAAGCCGTGAGGGGTTTGAGGAGCAGCTAGTGACACCACCCCCCGGGCCCACCTGCAGCCCTAGTGCGCCAAGCTCTGCTCTTGGGGAGACCTGGCTGCCAGCGTTCTGCCCATGCTGGGGAGTGACGACGTGGCAGGAGGCGAGTTAAGAGAACGGAGCAGCCCCCAGCACTGGCAGGAGGCGCTGGGTTAGCAGCACCGAGAGCTTGCCCCTAGCTGTGCCAAGCACCCCTTTGCCCACGTCCCATGAGGGAGCGGAATTAGCGCCATGTCCTGTAGTGCTGGGCGAGCGTCTGGCGAGGCGTGGGGCTGCCCCACTTCACACCCGCCTGGGCACGCCCCAGCCCATCAACTCCAGCAAGGAGCCTCACCTGTCCCCCCCAGGGCTGGGGACACAACGGGGCCCCAGCACCTGTCCCCACAATCCCAGGGCAGCTGGCCACGAGGACATGGGGTCCATCCTTCCCCACCTTGAACTCTCATGGGCACTGGCCTCACGTGCATGGGGCCGGCTGGGGCTGTGCGAATGAGGGGCAGGGCTCAGGGCTCGGTGTTATACGGCCCCGGGCAGCCTGGGGCTGAGGGACCTCGGGCTGCTGTGATGCCCATTCACTGTATAATGCGGGGGCGGGGGAGCTGCACAAGCTGGAATCAGGTAGCTGAAGCAGCAGGCTCTGCCCCCCACCCCCAGCAGTGGGGCAGCCCGGGCACAGCAGAGTCCCCTGTTCTCCCAGCAGCCCCGCTTCCAGGCTGCTTCCCGCACGGCCCGTGGGGAATTAGTTACAGTTGCCTATGAACAGGCAGCGGCCTGCAGGGCTGAGCTGGCCGAGGGGCCAGTGCTTGCCCAGGCTGGCAGCACAGCGTACCCGAAGCCAACCCCCATCCCCTAGCCTGTCTGGGGGGGGGGGGGGCTGTCCCCACCCCGAGGGAAAGGGCAGGCTGCAGCCGCAGCTGGGGCTGGGAGGATGAAAGAAGATCCCGAGGCGAACGGCCCAGCGAAACCCAATCCTGCCGGAGCGGAGGAGAGGCAAGGCCCTGGGGACTCCGGTGAAACCTAAACCCACAGCGCAGCAGGGCTGGGGGCAAGGGACAGCTGCAGCCCCCCTGCTGCTGGGTGCCCGGCTCTGGGCTGAGCTGGGGGGAGGGAACCAGGCCCTACAAGGAGCCAGCGTGAGACAGGCCGAGCTGGAATTCGCCCTCAGAGCTGGAGCTGCCCCACTCCCCCCCCCCCGGGCGCTGTGGCGGGGGTACAGGAAGGCAGCTCAGAGCCCCATAGCTGGGGGCCGGCCAGGTGGGGAGGGGGAGGGGCAGGGGCAGGGGTAGACACTCTCCAGGCTGCGGTGCTCAGTCCGGACATTTTTCCCAGCCTGGGAGCCAGCAGGCAGCTGGTGGATCGGTTTCAGGGGGCGCTGGGAGCGGAGGTCACGGTGGCTTAATGGAACAGCAGCTAAGGCAGAACAGATGCAGCAGCTCTGTGTGCGTGGGCGGGCCCCGGCCCACCCCTGCCCCCTGCCACGCACAGGGACACAGGTGCACAGGGGCACGCTCGGAGCCAGCAAGCGCAGCCGAATGCAGATGGCACCCAGGGCCCCTTGGCCCAGCGTCAGGCTCACAGCAGAGTCACCCGGCCCGTGGTGGCCATGGCTCGGGGCGTGCAGCGATTCACAGGCTGGAAGGTGACAGCCAGCGGCAGGAGAGGGCCCCCCACCAGCAGGAGCTCCTTCCAGCACAGCCTGGGGGCCAGGAGCACCGGTCCTGCCCCTCCTGCGAAGCTGGGGCTCCCCTGCGGTCCTGCCCACTCCGCTGCGCTCCGAGATTTAAGCCCACAGGAGCCACACCACCACCAAAGCACGAGTGTTTGGGGCCGTGCTAGGCCCAGGGGCCTGTCTGCCTTTATGCACCCCAGGGCTCGGCCAGTCCCTGTCTGGGCAGGGGGCTCTGCCCCGCTGGCTACAGCACGCCCACCCCAGGCAGCAGTTCTGGCACCGGGGGAGCTGGCAGCGCCCACCATCGCTCTGCCCTGGAGCCAAAGGGGCTCCCAGGAACCAGGCTCTCCAGGGGGCAGAACTGGCCACCTCTGACCAGGGAGCCTTTGGCCTCCTGTTCCCGCTGCAGCCCTGCCTGCGCCCTAGGACCACGCCGCAGCTGCTGAGGGTGAAGGTTTCTGTCCATCCCAGCCGCAGATTTCCCAGTAGCGTCGGGGGGGGAGGGGTGTGCCTCCCCCACCCCATTGAGCAAGGCAACCCCCAGCCCCAGGCAGCATTTACAGCAGCCTCGAAGCCAGTTGGGTTTTGCTATGAATTAGCCACGGCACCGGCCTGCTGCTTGGCTGACCGCCCCCAGCCCAGCTCCGCCGTGGCCATTAGAGCCACCAGCAGCCGGCTGTGATTGCTGTTGGCCGGAGGGGCAGACTCTGCGCCCCTCCCCCGGCTCTGGTGGGGATAAGCCCCAGGGGCTGAGCCCGCTTCCAGACAAGCCGAGGATGAGAGCAGGGCCCGGGCCGATGAGCCAGGATGAGTCCCCGGCCCCAGAGACGGTGCCAGGCGCTTGCTTTAGAGGCCCCACAGGCAGAAGCAGGAACCTGCAGCGAGGGTGAGGTGGGGGGGGCTCCATGCCAAGGGGGAGACCCGGCAGCGGAGGGCTCCACGCCTGCCCAGGGCGTAGGATGCCGGCTGGACACGGAAGCCCATGCTGAGGGTCTGGCAGAAGCAGCACAGGGCGAGGAAGGAGCGGGCTCGGGACACGGCTCCAAGCCCTAGTTCACCATGGGAAGGGGCCGTGCTTGGCCCGATACCCGGGCTCGGTGCATGGAGCAGCAGCCCCCACCCCTCCCCGGAGGCAGCCAAGAAACCTCCAGCAAGAGGCTCTATTCCAAAAATAATTTATCAAGGTGATACTTCATGTGCATTAGAGACGCTATGTACATAAATATTCCTCTCTCTGGCTATGTACAGGGCTAGGTGGGATGTGGGGGGGCGGCTGGCCAGCCCTGGGCAGGGCGCTCCAGTGGGCGGGGGCGGGGTGCCTGGCTCCCACTGGTACAGTATCACAAAAATATGATTAAAAATTACATCAAACAAAACAAGCAGAGTTTCCTGGGCGAGGCCTGTGGGCGGCCCCAGGCAGCTCCTCTGGGCACCGAGCCCATGCCCCATGGGCTGACACGAGTTCACTCTGCCCTGCGGGGCGTGACGGCGGGTTCGGGGCCAGCTAGACCTTTGGGGGCTTGGCAATGCGGGAAGGCCCAGGGTGCCCTGACTGCCTGGAGAGCAGATGCCAGCAGGAGGCTGGGGGGGGTGGGCCACACGGAGTCCCCAGGCCAGCCGAGGACAACCCCTCACAAGGAGCAGGTCCATGGCTGGAGCGGGGGCCCAGAGACTCCCGCTGCTCAGCTCTCTCCAGTGCCCTGCGGCGGGAGGAGGGCAAGAGCTGCCTCGTCATTCCCAGCCCCGCTGCCAGGCTGTCCAGCCCCCCAGAGCCAAGGCGCCCTGGGCAGCCAGGCCAGTGCCGGGCGGCCCCTCACGTCCTCACGCTGCGGTAGGAGAAGAGGCAGGGGGTGATGGGCAGGGGGTCGTGGGTGAAGACGGAGTCGTCGGAGGAGCAGGTGCTGGTGCTGTCCTCGCAGGAGGGGGAGTACTGCTCGAAGGGCACGGACAGGTCCAGGTACTGCGGGAGGGAAGAGCCGTCAGCGTTGCAGGGAGCGTGCCCCCCAGAGACAGGGCAAGGCCCAGACACACCAGGAACCCCCTGGCCACCTTCCTGGGCCACATGCCACAGTGCCTGCCTGCTCTGCAAACTCACCTCTTCTGAGACAGCTGCCAGGATCTTGTCCAGCCCCTCCACCAGCTGCTTGAAGGTCGGGCGCTGGGAGGGGACGGCATGCCAGCACTCCCTCATCAGCATGTACCTGGCAAGGCAGGGCAGAGCAGAGAGCTGTCAGCCAGAGGAACCAGTCCCCTCTCCCCCCCGCATGCCAGGGGCAGCGCGGGTACTCACAGCTCATGGGTGCAGTTGGAAGGCTTGTCCATGCGGTGCCCTTCTTTCAGCAGCTTGAAGAGCTCTTCCACCGGGATCCCAGGGTACGGGGAGCCCCCCAGCGTGAAGATCTCCCACATCAGAATCCCAAAGGACCACCTAGGAACAGGGCAAGGATCAGGCCCAGCGTGGGCTGGGACAGGCACTGTGGGCAGGGCACTGTCACTGGAGCACCGCCATTACCAGGGCCATGGCCAAGCAGTGCCATGATCCCGGGCACAGTGTGCTGGGGGTGCCAATCTGCCCTGTGTTACTCGGAGAGCGGGACGCACGCCACACCTTGGTGTGTGCACAGGGGCTGCCCTCAGGGCCTGATGCCCTCAGCCGCCCTCACTCCAGGCCCAGCCCCTGACAGCGCAGCCGGACTCACACGTCGCTCTGGTGCGTGTACACTCTGTCAAATAGGGCTTCGGGCGCCATCCACTTCACGGGAAGCCGGCCCTGCAGGGAGATGAAAAGCCCTCAGCCCACGGCTGCTGCTGCAAGGTGACATGCCTCCCCGCCCCGCTCCTGGCCCTCGGCACCTCCCGACCCAGCCCCACCCCCCTCCCAGCCCTCGGCACCCTCTGCCCGGCTCAGCCCTCGGCACCCCCCAGCCCTCCTCCCCTCCCTCGACACCCTCCGCCCGGCTCCCCTCCCGGCCTAGCCCTTGGCACCCCCGGCTGTCCTCCCGGGCATCGGCATCCCCCACCCCCCTCCTGGCCTGGCCCT